ATTCTTATCCAATAAATAAGTTGTTTTCTTCTGTGTATCTAAAAAAATCATTTAAACCTTTTGAACAGGTAACAAATATTGCTTTTTAACACGATATGGTAACCAGTGATGAATTTTCATTTCTGCCAACGGGTATAAAATTCGTTGAGAAAAATGGAGTCACTCTATTTTTCTTTTTAAGTATTAATTTATTTTTTCTTTTGACAAAAAAACTGGACATGGACAGTTTGACACAATGTATGACTAGCATTTTATACTCATTGCTGAGAGGTTAAAACATTCTCTCTGACCCTTTCCGTTAACCTAAACTTCCCTTTGGTTAACAATAAACTAATTCTTATCCAATAAATAACTTCTTTACTACTGTGTATTTAAGAAATCATTTAAATATTTTGAACAAATGCTGCTTTTTTACAACAATTGTTACTGGTGATGAAAAATGAATTTATGAAATTTTAAAACTAGGAAAATCATGAAAGATCCAGAACATCTCAATTTAAGTGGGATTGACTGGGAGAGTGGATTTTGTTTGGATACAAAAAAATACTGATCTTTGCACCCTGTATTAAAAACTTTTATTAAATTTAAACTGGGAAACTAATTCAATAATCTAACAAGGATATGTGAATCAAATCCATTTATCTATTTTGTACAGGAGTAATTTAATTACTTTTTCAGTTTTAAGGGGAATTTTTTTATCAGATTTGGGAAACTGGACAACTTTTGAAAAGCCAACAAATTTTGAATTTCATTAATTGTATACAAATACCAAAGGTTGATGGAATTTCATTTGTTGCTTTTGTTGTTAATCATAGATATATGGAAGTAATGAAACCTTTGTAAAAAATAAAGCAATGTGTTTTCAGAATAAGGCTTAAATAGAATTTATTTTTTGCATCATGACAATTGAAAAAAAACAACGAGAAACATGAAATTCCAAGTTCTTGCATGTACTCTGTACAGTCACAATTTGATAGCACTAAACTTTACTTTGCACCTGATGCTAAAGTTGAAATCACTGGACAATCAGATAAAAATTAGATCAGATACTGTTTTGAAAAATATATCAGAAAATGTTTTTAAAAAATAAATGAACTTCATTTTGATACCAGATTCATTATTGTATCTGATCTAAAACTTATTTCAGAGGATTGAAGACCTTTGTATTACAAAACATATACCATTACTGTTGTCAAACGTATTTTACAAACAAATCTTAAAAACATAGGATATACAACAAATTTATCTAAGAAATAATTAAAAAGACTTTATAATTTCTACATATTGGCTTTTATTTTTCTTTAAATTAAAAACTATTCTCTGATCAATTTGTGTCATAGAACAAACACAGTATTAAGGAAGTTAACTTTTGAAAAACAGATAAGAAAATGAATCTGTCTTTCCCTACTCCAAAAACCTACAAATGAATGAATTAATTTAAAAAAGATAAGGGATTTATTGTTTTCAGTATCCAAGTGTTAGATTAATGGGATACAATAAAAGGAAAAATAAAACAGAACTGGCAAGGAAAAAAAAAAAAAATAGAAACACTTTAAGACAACAAAACTAATTGGAAGGAAGGAGATAAAAGTAAAATAATCAAGTGTTGTTTCTTCATCTGGAAAATAAAAATAAAAATGTCCCAAGAGCCACATTTGAGGTGGAAATCAATTTGTGTTTTCATGCAATTCGCAATATCAACATCTGGATCAATAATGTCTTTGTGTTGACAAAGAAACTTCCAGGAAATTGTTATTCAGAAAATCAACTAGACACCACTTTTGTTCAAAGAAACGATTCGTCTCTCAACATTTTGAGCCGACAGTTAACACTATGAAAAAAAAAAAAAAAAGGAAACAAGAATACTGGTGGTTCAATCAAGAACAAATTCTAGAGTTAGACCAAAAGTGGATTTTTTTTTAACTGCTTCAGCCCAAGTAAGGTGATAAAGCCACTAAGATGTAACCTACAGAGAGTGAAAAAAACTGAGAAAATATCACTGAGGAGAAAGGACAATAAAACAAACAGGTGACATCAAATGGTCAAATGATAAGATCCAGAGGCGGATATGCAATATAATTGGCCCTGTTCTGGCATCTCGTCTACAGTCGCTCTCCCACAGACACGCTGTCACCTCTCTCTGCCTTTTTTACAAATACTTTCATGGTAATTGCTCCAAGGAGCTGCATTCGCTGGTTCCCAGACTTCATGAATTCTAGCGCCCTACAAGGCTTGCATCCCGCTCTCACCCTTTCACTGTTGAAACTATTAAATGTAGCCGTCTCTTCTACTCCAATAGCTTCATATCTCACACCTCTCACCTGTGGAACTCCCTTCCATATTCCAGTTTCCCTGAGCGCTATAATCTCCAACTATTCAAATGTAATGTCAATCGACATCTCCAGTTGCTTTGATCTATACACTATCCTTCTCATCCTTTCCTCTATCACTCCTATCTGATCTTGCTCCAAATCTTCTGTAACCCCTTGCGTCCTAGTGGCTTCCCGCCTTACTTGGGGTGAAATGCTTAAAAAAAAAAAAAAAAAAAAATTGAAATTTTTGTTTGTGTGTGTGTTTTTTAAACAATTCAAATATATATATATATATATATTATATATATATATATAATATTTTAAAACAATTCAATATATGGTCCACTATGGAGAAAGATACTTTATTTAATGTTGACTGCTTCTCTTTTCTTACAACAGCCTTCAACTGAGTCTTTCTTGGCACTGTGTTCTATAATAAAATTTTGGTGTTATCAACTAAAATTCATTTTTATCTCTGATAAGCTTTATAGAGTAATGTCAAGAAAAGTAAAATTTAGTAAATAACAATAAAATAATATACCGTATATTTCCACATATAAAGCGACCATTAGATAAGACAAAGTCAAAAAATATAGCAAATTTTCATGAATTTATCCTATACCTGTAGTATAAGATGACTGTTTATTGATTCTATAAAGATGATGTTATTGGAAATGTTGTTACTTACTGTAGTCTTAAAAATTCAAAATAAACAGAATAATAAAACTGATTCTATATCATGTTTTTTCTACACACATCCCCTAAAAAGGAAACCATGGTTTTGTTTATATTTCATCACATGATCTTTTGTGAATACTGATTCTTCTTCTTCTTCCTCTTCTTATATCTAAACACTTACAGCCTGGTGTACTAATGGCCATTTACTTATATTTCACAACAATCACAAAATGCCACTGATAATGTATAATAGTACATTCCATTTACAACATTTTTTTTTATTCGCAATCATAACACAATGTTTACATTTTTTCAACTAAATTTTTCTCTTGCATGGATACAAGTTGATTTCATTGATATAGAATTATTCTTCAAATAGGCAATTTATTATGAAGTTATGCCAGTAATATATAAGGTAGTAATGGTTTCATTACTTTTATTATCAGTTTATTTGATAATATGAATCTTTTCATGTACATTATTGGTTATTGCAAGAAGGTTGAGGTTAGCCTATCGACAAACATCACTCAGAATTTAAGGTTTCTTTTTTAGAACTGTAGTATATGAAAACCCCCAATTTTTAAGGGTGAATTTTGGATTTAAAGACTGTCTTATATGTGGAAATATATGATACTTTATCTTTTCTAAATGATATGTCCTGATATGTTTATAACTTCTTCCCACACACTATTGATAGCCACAATTCTCTTTCCAAAAGCATGAAACCACGTCTACCTGTAGCCTGTTCTATTGACAAAATGCTTTGCCTTTGAGACATTTGAAAGAAAAGAGTGGGTAGGTAAACATTTGAGAAAATCACTCTCCCATAATTATCCAGGCCTGTATAGACAAGTAGTAAAAAAAAAATTTCTTTCATCAAAAGTAAAATCTGACATGGTGCCAACCATATATATTTGTTGTACTTTAGTGAAAACAAGATAGGGGAGTTTATTATTTAGATAATTTCTTTTTAGAAAGGAATATTCAGAAAAAAATAATTTTCAGTTTTTCAAGGTTAAATATTGGCTTAGAGAGTGCCTCACATCAATCTGCAGACATTTTTTTTATTTTGGAAAAAGTATTTTTATTAAAGTTCCACAAGGTAGATAAGTAATCAGAAATTGGAAGAAGCAGCAGATAAATTTTTTTAAAACAATTTATTGGCCACTGAAAGTAATTTAAATTTGATGCTCTTTGAAAAGAGATACACTTCTAACTTATAAACGCCCACTTATCAAAGCAAGATTATATAATGAAAGGAAAAAAAAGAAAAAAAAAAGAAAAGATAAACAGTACCGGTGTAATACAGAACTAAAAATAATGGCTTCTCCTTCTGTTCTCAGTTACAAAAAGTCAACCTAACCTTGTTTTGTTGATAGAAACTGATGCTAGTGACTGAGGTAATAAATTCTCTTGGAGAAAGACATGTTTTGTACATTATCACTTTTATTAGATATGAGGAATGATCTGACATCATTTTAATCTTGAAAATAAATTATAATCTAATTATTTTAAAATGACGAATTAAAAAAAAAAAATTTTTGATATTGCATAGATTAAACAAAATTCAGTCAGTTTCAGTAAGCGGTAAAAATTTGTTAGAAACAAAGAAAAGAATGCTAAACTTATGTAATATTAGTCTCCCTATATGGCAATAAATGCTGAACAATTTCCTCACAGATGATTAGGAGACTTGTGAAAGGAGAGATATGGCCCTACAAAAGAAAGCTGAATCGATTGCTTGATGGATTTTTTTATGATTTATGAACTTTTCCAGTTATTTAAGCCAGAAAATAATTTTATATCTTAAGAAATTTTTGGAGATATTAACAATTGACTGCTTCAAGTCATACTCATTAACCCATAGCTTGGAGGGGGAAGAGGAGGATTCATACTTTTTCCAAGTGTATTTTTGCATAAGTGAATATAATGAACATGAACGGAGTTGGAACTTAGCACTCCAATTTACAATGCCGAGCCGTTATCCATTGCACCACCCACACATCAAAGCTTACAGCATCTGGTGTTCTCAAGTGGTCACCCATCTAAGTACTGACAAGGTTCGATGTTGCTTAACTTCAGTTATCGTATAAGAACTGGTGTTTCAACATATGTCTATAAGCCAAAGAATGCCAAAAATACCATGGATGTAACATGTGAGCAATGAGGAAGTTTTAAGTAAAATGGAAACAAAGAGACTATTTTAAACACATAATGAGGAAAGCCAGCTCAGAGAATTTAACACCCACAGGGCATATTAAAGGCAGAAGGGAAGAGTATCCTATCTAACAAAATTGTGTAAATAAATAGCAGAACAGGGAGTGAAAAGGATAGTATGGAGACAAACATTGCTTACAGCTTGTTGTGGAGTTATTTCACAGTGGAGGCTTGTATTTGTACTAAATCGGTCCTAAAATAGGTCCAACGTACAAAATGTTAGGAACTTGATATAATAGGTATTACACAGAGAAATCTTGTTGTGGTCGCTGATACTTTCATATTCGACTAACTGTCGTCCGACAATGACTGACTGACTGACCTATTACTCTTACTACTCCTACTTATTATAGGTGGGAGAGTCTATTAACTATAGAATAGGTATCTTCCACCATAACACAGCTACAAAGGATGAGAAGTTGTTGTGAGCCATGATCACCCAAGTCCTGAAAGGACACAACACATAAGGTCAGTAAGTATAATTTGAAAAAAAAAAAGAAAAAAAAAAAGCAAACTGATAAAATTATTTTAAATTTAAGAATCCATGCATAACTGTTCTTAGTTAAAATATTTAAAATCAATATTTTTCCTTGCCATGGATTAATGGTTAGCAAGCTGTACTCTCAGATTATGACACTTGAGTACTGAGTTTAATTCTCACTGAGTGTCCTCTAGCTGTGGAACTGCGTTAAATCTAAGCTTAATAAATAGTTATATAATGTCATTATAAAGTTTAATTTTAATGAAAGATTAAAATACTAAATACTAGAAATAAAACTGAACAAAACTTAACCAATTAACAGACATATTTTAGATTCGTTGGCTGTCTTTTTACCATTCCTTTGCCATCCATTTACCCGAATTCATTAGATTGGTAACAAAATGTTTCCTTCTAATATTCTTGCATTCAATGAAATTTAATTTTCCAAACACTCTTTCTTCATGTGTCCCAGATAGTTCAACTATCAATTGTACAAAATATCATAGTCTGGGCAGATCATAAAGTTGATTTTATTGTGTGATATAACACACACACGCACACAGAAAAACACACAAATATCGTACATTCAGTGCTGGTGTTAATAAAATAGTGCTCAATGCAATACAACAGAGCTATTAAGTATATATAAATAAATATATATATATATAATATATATATATATATATATATATATATATATATATATACACTCAACTCTCCGTCATATTTGTTATATGAGAGTCAAGCTGCTCAGTTCCTAGGAACCAACAGCCAAACACAAGCACATGTCATTTGATTGTAGTAGTGAAGGTTTTGCGCAAAAAACCATTCACACACACACACATATATACAGAGACAAATATAAATTACGTACAGACACACACACATATATATATATTTTATATATATATATATATATATATATATATATATATATATATATATATATATATACATACATACATACATATATATATTTTTAATTATTTTTTTATAAAAAATTATAACATAAGTATGTTATAAAATCACTACAAAAATAGCCATTTTGTTTCAACACACTCTGATATTTGAATATATATATTTTATATATATATATATATATATATATATATATATATATATATATATATATACACACAGGGGTGAGTCAAAATTATGTCAACATTAGTATGAGAGGAATCATTTATTCAGAGTTTACTGAACAAAGTCCACCTGTCCACCAGCACGATTGATACACCAAAACCAGAGATTAACAGTACAATTTAGTGCCCTAGTTATGGGATATGATAATGGATTGTGTGCATAGCCAAAAAGTTAGAGACAAGGACAGAATAAAAGATGTAATATCAAACATTCCCTGTGAAATGTGTCAAGGTACTAAACTGTAATGTTTGTGTATATATATATATATATATATATATATATGCAATTTCTATATATACTATTTATATATTATATATGCACAGGACTTATTGAAAAGCACTCAATATAAGTGATAGAACTAACATATTTAGTTGGATTGATGTGAGTTTGTTACCTCGGGTTTCATGCTATTTGCGATCATCAGTCAACAGTTTGTCTGACGATCACAAATTCACATCAATCCAACTAAATATATATATATATATATATATACTTGTGTGTGTGTGTGTGTGTGTTATATATATATATATATATATATATATATATATATATATAGATAGATAGATAGATAGATAGATAGATAGATAGATATAGAGAGAGAAATTGACTATTTTTATATCATTTCCCACCAAGCAAAGCTATATAGCTATTAATACACAAGGGGTTCCTGCATGTTACAGAATATAAAAAAAAATATTATTAAAGAGAGAGGCCAATAAAAGAAGATTTAAAAAAACAGGAGATAACAATTGACATTGCATTTAAATTTTTGAAGATCAAAGTTGACAGGAAAGCAAGAAGCCAAAAGACAGTTCCACAAATGGGAAATTTGAGAGATGAGAGTGTTTGATCTAGGAATTTCAACATTAAAATGATGAGAGATAGTACCCAATCTAGTACTGCCCTTAAATTCATAAAGTCTAGGTATCAAAGAAGAAAGCACATCAGGGCAATTACCATGAAAATATTTATAGAAAAGGCCAAGGGAAACTATATTATGGCTTAAATTCATCTAGGTACCAAGGAGGAAAGCTCTTCAGAACAAAATGAAAATAGTTATAGAAAAGGCAGAGGAAAGTTACATTAGAGCAGTGGGAAAGTGGCTGAAACCAAGAGGCTAGGTCAGGATCAATCATATTGCAGATTCTTCCTTGGATTTTATCAAGAATCTCTAAATATATCACAGAAACACCAGACCAGATGTAGCAGCATAATTCCTGCATGGATGAATGGTAGACTTATAAATGTGTAAGATTGATTCTGGCCTAAAAAATTGTCTAGAATGACACTGTGAACCAACTTTCCTTGAAGTAGATTTAGTAATTGGTTCAGTATAATCATTCTACTTCATTTGAAAATGTTAGCCTGAGAAGGTGCAATATGTCACTCTCCTGTTAGTAACAGCCATGCTGAAGGAAGGTAAAAAGGTTCTCTAAGACAATTAAAAGAACAGTTTCATTTTGGAAGTGTTAAAATTAATAAGCCGTTTCTTGTCCCAGTTAACAACTCATTTTTGAGATCAGCTGTCAATTTGACCTTATTGAACTGAACAGACTTACCATTAGAATGTATTGAAAGACTTGTGAAAATATTAACATTGCAACTGAAAAGCCATGAATTCTGAAATGTTTTTAAGATGACTAAATTAAAATCAGGGGAAGTAATTTTGAAAGTTTAACACAAAACAAAAGTACTAGAATTCAGTGAAATCAATTGGCAGTGTTAGAGTCAGTTAATAATGTCTCATACCAAAACGGTTTTCTTAAGTATTTTGTTCTGAGAATATGTTTTTAGAAAATAAGTGTTCAGAGTTCAAATAAATTCCAATACATTTTGTAGGAGACAAAAGGATCTAAGAAGAAAGTTTGGGATGTATTACAAAGTTTTTAATTATAATACTTCTTGTAGTGTAATGGATATCTACTTAGACTGAGAACTCAGAGAACCGAGTTCAAATTCCAGTCGGGTTCAATACATTCACTTACATGCAAATACCTTTAGGAGAGGTATGGATTCACCTCTTTTCCCCCAGCTATAGGTTGAATAGCAGGACAGACTAGGTCCTATAGCCTTGGTTGGCAACCAGTCTACCATAGAAAGAAACAGCAACCTACTGCAGAACAATCTTCTGCCAAATCAGTCATGAGTTAAAGAGACATGATAGAAAAAGCATGTATCATATGTGGCTCTTAACCAATTACTCTTTATTGAAAGTAAAAATCTGTTCTTAATAATTCTTAGTTAACTTCTGTTTTCATTAACCAGACGAAACTGACAACTGATCTTATTAGTACAAATTTTAAGGACCAATTTAACTTGACTTTTATCTGTTTTTAAAAAAAAGCATTGTTAGCTAAAATTTTTTTTAAGTTTACTTTTCATGTAAATTTTACAAATATACACATGCAGAAATTTTATTGTAAACCCAAAGCAAAAACCAAATTACCTTTTTTTAATCATAAAAATGTCTGCCCAGAAAACTAATGTCAAATGAAAAATAGTTACTTTAATCTTTTCTATTCAAAGGAATCAATTCATTTCAATCATTAATGTGAATTAAATAAAATCTAAATTGCTTTGAAATTAAGGGATAACATTTTGTTTTTTACAATGGACTTCTTTTTTCTAATTCTCACAGCTTTCAACACCATTTTTTTTCGACTACCAGTTAATTACATTACTTTTTTTAATATCAGATAAAATTCACAGTTTAATTTTGTTTATTGAACCAATTAAGTGATTGAGGTTGAAAACAAGCTAATTATAAAGCTATAATTATTAGTTCTAATCCATGGGAATAACAGATAAGAACATCCGCTTCCCTAATTTATAGACAAACCATACAGTTGTATACTAGGATTTCTTCCTAAGCAATAAAAATAAACCAATTCTTAGTCTCATCTCTCATATTTTTCTTCTTTCTTATCTTGAAGTTACAATGCTACAATCACTCGACTGTATCCCTTTTGTGTGTGACCACCATTCTTACTTTGTGAACATTTTACCTTATTACTGTCACTTTACGTATTTTTGACTTGCTTATATATTTTTTGTTTAGGATTATTTTGTCTTGTTCTTTTTCTTCCTTTTCTCATTGTTTATCGAGAACTTTGTCAATTCTGTTGAGAATTTTGCCAATTACACTTAACCATGGGTAATTGTTCCAGAAGGTAAAAAAAGTGAGAAAAATGGTCAATTACACAAGATAGGAAAAAAGTGAGAAAAATTCTATAAGAAATAAAAGTGAGAAGAATTTTGTAAGGAATAG